TGCTACCTAAACGGAAAGATTTGAGAACTTCATTTTCCTTTGCTTGGTCACTAATATCTTCACTTATAATCTTCGCCCTAAGTTATAAACCTGCATTTGCAACTTGAGAAGCTCACTGCTATTATCTTCCTAGTCAGTCACCGATGGCCTGGGTGGCAGCTCAACTTATAAAATATTTAAAATTGACTGTCTGAGTTCTGGAAACCCAACTCTGTGACACTCTGATGAACAAATCAACTGGGATCAAAATTCCTTGTAGAAGAAGGAGCCAGGAAGAGAAACCACCGAGTTCTGATGGTCGGGCCAAGCTGTGGTGTGCAGACTGCACACGAGATGAGGCAGAGGAGGCGCCTGCATTGTGTGCTCCTGCCCCCATGTCCACTCTGGAGACATTTCTGACAACATAATTGATAACCCCCTTGGCTGTACAAACCTCAATATAGTATGTAGTACATCTAGGATGATGTTTTTGTTAATAACTTCTCCACTCTCTGTGGTCTCATCTGGGCAAGATCCAAATCGTATTCTTTATATATCCAATAAGTGCTGGCTACAGTAGACAGTTAGAAATGTTGACTGACTATCACTGCCTCATCCTCACACTGTCATTCTCACTTTAATCTTGGTCCTTTTTCTTAGCACAGTCTCCCTCCTCTCCAGTCCCGTGCTTTTTCCCAAACCTATCCTGCCCCACAACTCCCATCCTCTCCGCAGGTAAAAGACTTCTTTACACCCTTCAGGTCTGAGCTGAGATATCGCTGCCTCTGGAATCCTTTCCCCACCCTGCATGGCCTCCAGAATAGATTGCCTGCCCTTTCTAGGAGCTCTCGGGCCATGTTCCGTAATACCTTTGTCACTGCTGTAGCACACTGTGTTGATTGTTGTCTGTCTCCTTACACCAAGAGAAACCTCCTGAGTGCAGAGGCCGAGGCTGGTTCACTACTGAGTGCCCAGCACAGAACAGCCATCCCATTATATGTTTTGAGTACATGAATGAATGGATATATCTGTTAGAATGCACATTCTCCATTAATTACATGAAATGTTTTACTAATGTAACATATATTCTGAAAAATTAGTGAAATATTTTTTTTATCGTCACCCGAGGACATTTTTCCATTTTTTGTTCAGATAGAGTGGGAGGGAGAGAGAGGAAGAGAGAGAGAGAGAAACATCTTCGTGAAAGGGACACATCGAGTGGCTGCCACCTGCACGACCCACCCAGGGCTGGGGACAAACTGCAACCGAGGTATGTGCCCTTAGTGGAAACCAAGCCCGGGTCTCTCTGGATCGCAGGCTAATGCTCTAACCACTGAGCAAAACTGGCCAGGGCAAATTTTTTTTTTTTAAATTAGTGAAATTTTTATTAGCAGTTCTTCTCACACGTACTGCTCTTCCCTCCATCCGACCTGAAAGCAGCTCCCAAGAAAAGTCGCTGCTCCATCCAGCCAGTCCCTAGATAGTCACACAACGACCTGTCTGAACACAGGCACTTAGCCCTAAATCATGCCCAAATGGATATTCATAAACATTATATTTAGACCAAAGCTTGAGACATTATAATAAACCAAAATATAGTGAGGAAACTCTCGTGGGCGAAGCACTGCTCCTCCAAGGAAACTCAGGTGTATTGAGCAGACAGGAAGGGGCTCCCACCAGGGAGGCCACACGTGGCAGTGCATGTTGGCTCTGGGCTATTTGCGTAGACTGATCCATGAGTAGCACCCCTTGAAGGGGAAAGAAAGTTCACTATTGGCCATTCTCTTCCATCATATCTGTTATAACGCCCTTCCTTGAACACAGCTGGAAACAAGCAATCTGCTGAGACTAGCAGGTGCAGTGCACAGAGGAGACACTAATTACATTTGTGTTGATTGGTGAGTGTCCCACAAAATCCACATTTAGAGCAAAATGCAGTAGATGAAGTAACGGTAGCCAAAGCTCTCAGCTCACTCTGCCACGGCAGCCCTTCCCCCTTCTTTTACACTTCATTTAAAAATGTTCAGAAAGTATAGTTCAAGACAGTATTTCAATTAAATGTTGAGTAGGTAGACTATGTAACTCAATCATGAATTCAAGAAAAATGTGTATTCTTGTAAGGAAATATCATATGAAAATTGATTTTCAAGAACCAATTAATAATAATTCCCTGAAAATTGTAATCTATTCCCACATTTTATTTGACCCTGTTGCATAACAGTTATCCAAGAAATAAAAAGGGAGAAAAATATTCTATCTTCTAGCTTTTGAAAAGATGAGTTTGTGTTTCTTGACAATGTTCTAAATAATTGAATGGAGAAAATAAAATAATTGAATTTTTGCATCAATATAGTTTTTTTCTGAATCTTGAAAATTATGATCACTGAGGTAACTTTTTAAAATTTTTGTACTATCTGTTCTGTTCTGCATTCCTCACCCTTTACCCTCTATCATAAAACATTTTATAGATTTTAAATTCAACTTATAACACCAGCTACTTTGAGAACTTACAACTTCTTGCTAAAATATTTTTTATCAAAAGGGAAGATACTTTGTGAAAAATAACTATGTTATTTGAGAAATTAACAGTTTAAAACAAATTTCAATGCAGTTATGAAAACCATTGAAGTTGTCTTTTTAAATTGACCTTTTTCACACATGTCTTTACCATAAAATTTTTTTTAGCTAAAAACATCTTATGCAGGTTAGTAATCTACAGTGACATCCAAAATGTGTTTTCTCTTGAAATTCTGGTAAGATAGAAACAGCAAAAGAGTAGTTTTTTATTCTTTCCAAATATTTCTTTAAGAATAAACAGAGAAACTAGGACAGAAAAGCCAAAACTCAGACAACATAATAAAATCAGGTAACAAGATATCCCCATGAAGCCTAAAATACAAGTGAATGAGGACAAACTAATGACATTCCCAAGAGCCACATGGTGTCAGCATCCATGTAAGAGGTTGCAAAGGCTGACAAGGGAACATGCGATGAACCTAAGAATGGGAGAACACTCAGATCTCTAAAATCTTCAAATCACTGGGAGGCAGGATGGAATACAAAAAAAGCGGCTGAATTTTGCCATCTAAATTTCTGAAAAGTACAAAGGCTTTACTCACAATGAGTTCTGAAGTGACTAATGCATTCAAGGGCCTGTGAACTCCTGAAATTAATGCCTGGAGCCCTTCAGGGGAAAAGCCCTGTGTTTAGAAGAAACTGCTAAGGAGAGACTCCAATAATGAGAGTAGAGATGATAGATAGAGGAGATCTCAGAAAGTACAAGGTCATATTTTTAATACTTCATGGGAAAACAAAAACAAAACAGAAGGTCAAAAGCCATAAAACTTGAAAAGATATCCTGGCCCATCACTCTGTCAAAGGGTGAAGGGGACTAGGTGGTACAAACCTCCAGTTATAAAAAAGAAAAAGAAAAGAATAAGTCACTGGGATGTAATGTACAGCATAGGGACCATAGTCAATATCATCATCATAACTTTGCCCAGTGACAGAAGGTTACTAGACTTATTGTGTGATCACATTATAAGGAATATAAATGTCAAATCGCTATGCTGTATACCAGAAACTAATATAATATTGTATGTTAACTATAATTTAATTTAAAAACAAAGAAAACCAATTTGGCTTAAAAATAAACAGCAACAGAGAGGTGTCTCAGTTAATTCCAATACAAAATGATCATAAGAGCTCAGAAAATAAGAAGCAGAATAAGTTTCCTTTAGGTAGTGAAAGCATGCCAGGAAGATGTACCTACAAAAATTGATAAACTATAATTTAATATTGCAAAATAAACTAAAATTTTAAAAAATCACAGAACAATGTGAATCAAAATTTGAAAAACTCATGTGTGTATAATTGCACAACCCAAAGAAGAAACCAAAGTAATGGGAAAAAATAAATACAAAACATTCCTGAAAGTAAAAAAGAAAAGAATGAAACTTAAAAGAAAGATTACTTGCTATCATTGATGCAAAAGGAGCAAGTCCTTTATTTGGAAAAGAAAACCAGATGGAAGAAAGAGGGAATAAAAAGAGGACAGAGAGAAAGAGAGACCTTATTTGAATACTGATTCAAACAAGCAAACAAACAAACAAACAACAAATTTTAACATGTCCAAGACCATTGGAAATTTGAAACACTGCATATTTGATAATATTAAAGAAGTATTGTAATTTATAGGTATGGCATTGTAGTCATGATTTTTAAAAGATCTTTCATCGTCCAGCTGCTGTGGCTCAATGGTTGAGCGTTGACCCATGCACCAAGAGGTCGCCAGTTCAATTCCCGGTCAGGGCACATGCCCAGGTTGTGGGCCAGGTCCTGAATGGGGGGCATGCAAGGGGTGCCAATCGATGTTCTCTCTCATTAATGTTTCTAGCTCTCTCCCTCTCCCTTCCTCTCTCTCTAAAATCAATAAAAAAATTATTTAAAGATATCTTTTATCATTTAGAGATATCTTCAATATTTATGAATGAAATTATGACATCTGATATTTGCTTCAAAATAATAAAAAAGGAGGGGAAGTAATTAATTGGACAGATAAAACAACATTGGTCATGAATTAATAACTTTTGAAGCTGTGCAACAATTACAGGGGATGGTTTACCGGGCATATTGTCTGCTTGGTATATGTTTAAAATGATTCTCAATACAAAGTTGAAAAAGAAAGAATTTTTGTCCTAAGATAGAATGGACTGTTCAAGCTCAGGCAAAATAAATGATTTAATTTTATTTTTTTATTTGTATTTTTTATGAGTAATTGAAGTTTATTCCTTTTCATTGCTTTATATAATGTTAATAGAAAATATATGTTTTTTGATTTTCCTAAATCAACCCAAATATTTCTAGAGTGCAAGTTTGTGGAAGTCTTTTTCCTGGTGTTGGGGTCGCCTGTTGCAATAATTTGGATGCATCCTCTTTAACATTAATTTAATTCATTCTTTTAGCATCCACTCAGCTGAGTGCACAGGTCTGAGACACGTTCCATGTTGTTGTTTTTTCAGGATTGTGGAAAAGGGATATTACAGTGAGCGAGATGCTGCAGATGCTGTTAAACAAATCCTGGAGGCTGTTGCTGTGAGTACGAAGTGACAGCCATAGTGTAACCCTTGGTGATATCTTTCTTACTTTACCAGAACCTCATTTAAGAAGTATGTATCTGTGACAAGCCCTAAAATTTACAGCAAAACCCTATGAGACATTTGTGGGAAAATGCACCCAACAAATTTTTATTTTCTAATGATTACTCAAACTCTTAAAGATGTAACCTCGTCTATGTAATACCACAAGTTTTTAAAAATATTTTCTAGTCTATTATCATGAAATCACATCAGACTTTGGTGCCCGTAGTTGTTATTTTCTCTCTCTCTCTTTTTTACTTTTTTGTTTCTTGACTTTGTTCCTTTATTATTTTGGTTGTTTATCAAGAAATTAGAGGAAGGTTGAATGTGATAATTATAGACCTTGGAGCATAGAGGTTATTGATTTTTTTTTAAGACAAGAAATGAGTGAATTAGAAGGAGAAATTCTGACAATTTATTTTTTGAAGAAAGAAATAGAAGTTAATAGTTTAAAGTGGAATAATATTTTATAAGTTAATGATGGTATGCATACACATTTACAAAACTAAATAATTTTGAGAAGTTTGTTTGGATTGAATTAATAAGAAAATATTTGCCTAGATAAAACAGACTCCACTGGTTAAAAAAAACTTCTCATATATTAAATGGTGTTTAATATGTGTTGAGACACTTTGGTGATTCATTTATTAAATATAAAGCCAGAATAAATTATTCTCTGAACAACAGAGTGGGGCTCAAGATATTTATCAGGATCAATTAGAGACAAATCTATGTAAAATATATCCCAAATTAAGATCTGTTCTATTTTTCAGAGTCAGTTCTCTAAAATCATTATTTAGTATCAGGAGAAATCAGCCACAGTGACACAAACACGTGTCCTATGAATCTTACCCACAACCAAAATGGGAAGGAGGAGGAGGAAAGGCATGGAGGAAGGACAGAAAGTCCTTGATATCTAACAAGCTTATATACCAATGATGAAAGGCAGCTTGAAATAGGAGATCTCTGGTCTAACCAAATCCATTATTGAGCTATCAACACCAAGTTCAATTGGTTTTATAGCCCAGTCTTTCCAAATGACCCCTCCCTATAAAAGTGTTTGTCTTTTGCTGTGGGGGGGATAAAAAGTTTGCATTGGGGTTGGATAAAAGCTGGAGAGGATGCCACAGAATTTTACTCTAAATACACAATGCATCTCCTCATTATGTGAATGTTGACTATCAAATTCATCTTCTTACCATACCCAAAAGAACCACTTCATTTTTAAAAATTAATCACAGTATATTTACCATCTCTGGTTTCCTAAGTTTGCCAACTAAGGAATGATTAACTCTTCCATTACCTTCTCTCCTCACATTCACCTTCCCAACTTTGGCTGAATCTTCCTGCAAATGTCCATGAACCTAATCCTGTTCCATATCATGCTATGACTGTTACTGTCTTACGCGTGCCTTTTGAAAAACAAACAAAGAAAAATACTTTTACTTGCTTCCAATTCTTATCCTTAATTAAAGAAGTCTAGATTCCTCCTTTGTAATCATTGTTTTATTTTGTCACTTCTGAATTCAATAATGGCAGTTATGCCTTTATTAGCTAGCCATTTTAAATTTTCATTTTTCATTACTATAAATATGGATTATCTATTCAAGTAAAGTTGCTGGCAGTATCACTTTACCAAAACCAGGCAGGCAGCTGGTGGAGCAGTTAAGAGTACTTGGGAGTCAACCAGAGCTGGGTTCACTTTCTAGATATGCAAGCTTGGACCCATCACTAAACATCTCTGTGCCTCAGTTTCTTCATGTAAAATAGGCATAACGTTCAACCCAACAGGGTTGTGGAAAAGACTAATGAGATAAGTATGGCAGCCATAGCAATGTTCATAAGAGAGAGAAAAGATACACAACTTCAGACTCAGTATATTCATCTAAAGATGTATTAAATATTGTTATTGTATATATACATACCTACACCCCAGCTAAGTGCTGAAAACAAAAACACATGACACTGGTAGATGCTCAATAAATATTTACTGAATAAATAAATGAAAAATTTTTAAATAATCAGAAAGAGGCACTATTCTATATTTTGCCTCTCTAGAGGATTTACTGAAACATCCTTACTATCATTTTTTTCTACTCATCTCATATGAAACAAAGCTATACAACTTGCCTCCATTTATCAGATACTTTTCTGCTCCCTTACAGTCATTTAATTCTCTTCCTATCTTTCTAACCTCACCTTTTTCAATATGTTCTTTCTGATTGCCTCCATCCATTTAGGTCAGCTCTTGATTCTCTTGGCTTATCACAGTAGGCATGTTTCAATTTAGTGATACCTCGGGGAGAACACAATTCTCATTCAATAAATGAGAAATGGACACTTTCGGCACCAGAATTTTTCACCTATTGGGATTATACCAATTAGTAAATAAAAGGACCCCAACTGGAATACTCCAGAGGGTGCTCTACCTAGAACCGAGGCCCCAGAGTTCTTAGAACTCCATTCCAGGCCTGCAAAGATGGGTTGAGTAGTCTACTGTAATTTATAAATTTAAAACAAAAAAAAAAATGTTTTATTTTACCTCCTCACAAAGCTCCAGTTTAAGAAGTAAGTTACCACATTCAAGTAAAACATTCTTTGAAAGAAGTCTTATTTTTAAAAAATAAAATTTCCTCTGATTGCTGCAACAAAGGGTTAACTTCGAGAAAAAAATTAAAGTCATTTCTCTAAGTGTTTCACAGGTAGAAAGCAAGCAATTTAAAACTTGTGAGAAGTGGCTGACATTTATAAAATAGTTTATTGTCAACTACATAGCTATAGATAGCTATGAAAAATAGGACAGGTGGGAACTCAAAGTGATCACTGATATATCTCACATTTATTCTGGATCACACACTTATAAGACTATATCTAGACTGGTTTTTGAAAGCACAGAAGCAGAAAACTTAAAGATTGAAACATCCTTAGGAAATACGTTGGAGGTATAATTATACCTCTCAGGTAACAGATCTCTTCTTCCCCACTCCTCCAGTTCTTGCCCCACATATTTCACAGTATTTATCCGACTATAATCTTGTTCCTTCTGCTTTTTAGCCTTAAATAGCATTTTTGAAAGCTTTTAAAGTGAATTTGGAAGCTGTTTCCCCTTTGGTTTTAATTCATTCAGTTAGTCTTTGAGGAAAGGTCCTTAAGCCTTCTTGAGTGTTCTGGCTTCTTGAAATGAATCCCAGGTAGTCCCAAGTTAGAGTGTCTAGGTCAATCTAGACATTCTGGAAGGGTCATTGTGTTCTCATTGGTCATAGGACCTAACGCCAAACGTTAAAGCCTTCCTTTCCCATATTTACTTAAAAAGATAACGTGGGAATATTTTATCTCCTCTGACATCTCTTATTGTTACCACCACCTCACTTCTTGTCACCACTGATATCCTACTATTTTCCTATTTCCAAAAGAATCACTGTCCCCCTGTTTTTCCCACCCCGGGTCCTATCTTCTCTCTTTTTCTGGCTGCAGTTCTCTTAGGTGTGTCTTGACTTCAAAGCCAGGACTTCAGAGCCTGGAAGAATGTGTGCATATTTAACAAACTACAAGGAAGTGGTTGAAAATGATTAACTATGTCTGCTATCCCAGCACAGAGATTTTTGGTTAGAATTGTTTTAAAGATTCTAATGATGTGAGTGAAGAATTACAAACAGAAGCGTGTAATCCTTTCAAGTTCAGATACCACTATGGTATCTGAACAGTGAAGAAAAACAGTACATGAAAGCAATTATAGGAATGCAGACAAAGATGAAATAGTACAGGTTCTTTTTGGTAAAATGTTTATAAATCTGTAACCACTCCCTCTAAGAAAAAGAGCAGATTTAGCCTTTTAGAGAATCGGTTAATAAAGAATTAATGACTTGATATTGAAGAGCTGGAAAAACAGAAGGAACATTAAAGTAAGGTGTTGCGGAAGCAGGAAGTTCCCTGAGACTGGGGAAGCGCTGAAGAGGCTGAGACGAATAAAACCTACGCACTTAGAGGAAGTGCTGGATGGGCGCACTGCTTGGCTGGTGCTGGTATCTCACTCTGAGTTCAGAGGCCTTGCCCATGAAGCTGGCACTCAAACCTTTGAGAATATTATTCTAGCCAACCAGTGCTGATGTTGCTGAGAAGGCACACTGGGATTCGTTTATGAGCATTGGAATAACTAAAATTGGTATTCACGCCTGCTACTGGAATGATCTGCTACTGCAGCATGAAAGAGTGTTCCGAGGGGACACGGGGAGAACATGCAGAATGGCTGACTCAGAAAGCAAAGAGGATGGGCGAGCCCCTTCATGCTCTTCCGGCCTCCCACTCTCTCCTTGGAGCACTCTCATGGCAGAGCCAAAGGGCCAGCAGACAGTGTGGCTTGTAGTTCAAGTCCCGGCTTCGCAAAGTGGATTAGAGAAGCGTGGGTTTAAAGTTTAGAGACAATAGCTTAATAAATGGTACAGGAAGTTATTTGAAAACAAAAATCTCGAAGTTTCTATGCCTATAGAGTTTTCTAAAATGTTCATAGTCTTTACTAATGTGCATGTAATGGACTCAAGGTCAAGGAAATCAAGACAAGTGCAGCAGAATTAAAATAAACTACTATCTAGCCCCGCCGGTGTGGCTCAGTGGTTGAGCGTCGACCCATGCACCAAAAGGTGGCTGGTTTGATTCCCAGTCAGGGCACATGCCCAGGTTGTGGGCCTGATTCCCAGTGGGGGGCATGCAGGAGGTGGCCAGTCGATGTTCTCTCTTATCAATGTTTTCGTCTCTCTCTCCCTCTCCCTTCCTCTCTCTCTAAAGTCAATAAAGAAAGAAAAAATTTAATAAATAAATAAACTACTATCAATATTTAACCCTGAGCACTCTGCTTGATAACATTATGGATTTACTCAATATATTATATGTATATATATACATATATACACACACACATTATTAAACTTTACATGATTTGATACATTTAAGTCATCTTCC